CAAGGACAGGGCCAAGCTGGGGTCCCATCAAAAACCATGCTAAAGCGGTTCCACGTTTGGCAGGCTCCGTGATATCAGCAACGGTACCGGCTCCGACGGAGAAGACGATACATGATCCGAATGCCTGGAAGACACGGAGAATATACAGCTCCGCGATATGTGGTGGCAGTACAGCAAGTAGGGTGTTCGCGACGAGAAAACTGCCGAGTCCGACCATGTACACTGTTTTCCTCCCGCCCAGATCTGAGGCAGCAGCACCGAAGAGAGGCTACGCAATCTTAGTTTTGCATTTCGAGCTACCGGTGCGGATGACTTACGGCAATGGCGAACACCATCATATACATTGAGACTGTACCGTTTACCGCAGTCTCCGATGCATTAAAGATCTTCTCGAAGATCCTCAGAGAAGGCAAGTAAACAGCTCCGCATAGTGGTCCAAAGAAGCCCGCCGCTGTAACGACGCCTAGAATGAACCTCCTGCGGTTCGCCGAAAAAGCCGAGTATGGTTCTGGCAGCGACGGAAGAGCAGTCGGACCATTCGTTGGTGGTTGCTCAGTTTCCCTCCTAGGTTGTGCTAAAGGGTAGTCGTCGCTATCGATGCTCTCTCGATACCGGCCATTATGGCGGTCCTTGACGAAATCGATTGGAGAACGCATGGTAAACGAAAAGAAGGAAACAATACGATGCAAATAGAAGCTCGACGAGGAGCGTTCTTGGAACCCAAAAAAACAAGACAAGATGGATATGTACGGCGGCGCCAAACCTAGAATGCCCAATCCTCGGAGCGTTCTATGTGCCGATGACGAGCAGCGCTGGACTGCAAGACATAAGACCTTGTCCTGGAAGGCCGTTACATTACGTTTGACAGGTCGCGCATAGCCTTGCTTCCTGCTTCCTGCACTGCCTTTGAGAAGGTGCCCTGGCTTGAGGGCAGTGTTTTCGTCTCCGCTGCGGTCAGGTTCCCACCAGAGGGTTGCTGAGCCGCACCCCGCTGTTCTAACCTCAGGGCTTCCCAGTCGCGAATTACGATAGGGCGCGCGTCATTGTTGGTGTTGGAGAATGTCCGACACAATGACCCGATAGATCAACCCGACAGCACGACTCGTGGCAATGACCCGACTTAAATTCTAGCAATACACATGCCATTTCGTGTACGTGTGATCACGTATTCAACGGCTAAAGCTTGCTAGAAGTCTTATGTGAAGCCATCTTCATTACGTCTGCATCCGGCTCGTTATGCTGCGTTTCGTGGTGTGCGCAGATGTGGCGGCTACCCTATTCTACGCATGAAGATGTTCGTTATTGCCGGCGATGGCAAAGGGTGGGATGAAACAGTCACAGCCTCCACCAACGATTTGAATCCTCTCATACTTTAGGGCATTCATCTCGGTCAGTAGACTTAGAACAACAAGTGGCGCAAGCTCTTGCCATTTGTCTTCCCGCTTCGCTCGATCCGGTCGCAATTTTAGGGCGCCTGTGTTCATACGCCAAAATATCCGGCTCTTACATCGTACTCACGCATATCCTCAGCACATTGCTGTGGCCCATGAGGCACAGTGAGGCGGGCGAGTCCGCTTGGACGACGACCGTGGCAGCGAATCCGGACACGATATGGACGTCGTCAGTGTGATGAGTCGAGGGCTGACCAAATTTACCACCTATCCGACTCATCGGGAGTCACTGCTGGCTTTGAGATGACTTTGCATCGGGTTGAGCATATATGTCGTGCGGAAAACGCAACAAACATGCGATACGTCTGAGACCACCTGAGTGGTATCAACAAATAGCAGCAAGAGTATACCTGTAAACGTCATCGGCTGATATACTGTTGTACCAACACCGTCAGCGCATGTTTACCCAGCCAACTACTTCAACGCCGCGCGATGCACGTAAGCCCGTTGGCCCAAATTCATGGTCGCCCTCCAACCGATGTCTCAAAGACAAGCATCTCGCAATGTTGGGAAGCTCAAAATATTGTTACAACGACACGTATACCCACGCTCTGTTCAACGATCGATCTGTCGTTGCATCCAACGTGCAGCATCGCATGTTCATCCAGCCTACCTAGACCCTGATCTCATTCGCCGTTCGAGTCCCGCAACCAAAACCCCGGGACACGACTGCACGGCTTCCTACTGCGCTTGCAATAACAATTCATCTATCGCACGTTGGCTAAAGAGCGCTCTGCCTGTAAGCTGCACTCCCAACACATGCAACATAAGCGGCCCGTTCCCCTCGCATCACCAACAAACAACCACGACCTGCATGCCATCCAACATTATTCCGCGCCTCAACACCTGCCGCGCAGTATCGTCTTGTCATGATTGCGCAGGATGCGGACGAGGGCGCGAAATCTGCTCAAAACCTTGGAAACCTTCTCACCTCGCTTACCATCTAAACCTATTTCAGCGTAGCGCTCTGCGGCCCGTCCTTGCTCTTGGAGTCTCTTCGACTATCAAAACATGGGCCAGCAGGTCTGTTACCGATCCATCTCGTGGTATGGTAGGCTGAGATTATGAATGGCAGTCTTTGACCAATACTGGCATGCAGTGGCGCCGTCTGCAGAACTTCGGGTACCGCGTGGGAACGGGTGCGAGAAGGGTTCCGGGCCTGGCACTCCCTAGGTAGGAGCTTGCACCACAAGAAAGCGATATAAACGCCGCGATTCCACGTTCACTCTCCGGAAATATCCTTAGTGGCAGACTTCACTTCAGTTTCAGACTTCTTTGTTCGTCAAAATCTCTGCGTTTGAAGTGTGAATCATTTGGGGTGGTTGCCGCTTCCATTTAAGGTCACGCAGGGGAAAATCTGCTCATAACTTGCTCAACCCTACTTCTCACACCACTCATATTCATTCACTTGCGCTGTTTCGTTTCCAACAAATTTTTGGTAGGCCGTGCTTTGATTGCAGTCGCTGCGATATAACTTTGGACTTCTTTCTCACTACCTTTCTATGCAGGTACAAGCAATCATGTCTATGGATATGGAAATGTCGATGGCTCCGACGAGCACCGGTATGGCTATGTCGGGCATGTCTATGGCGTCGACTGCTACCGGCATGGCGCCAATGGCTACTTCGTCAGGCGGAATGGGTGGCATGGATGACATGGCCGATATGATGGGCGGATGCAAAATTAGTGTAAGTTCTATCCCATCTTCTCTCGCAGTGAGGAGAAAGGAAGTCTCAGCTAACAACCCGTCCCGCAGATGCTGTGGAATTGGAACGTTATAGACACATGTTTCATCGCAGAGTCCTGGCACGTACGCTCCAAAGCCATGTTCGCCGGCTCCTGCATCGGCGTAATCCTCCTCGTCATCCTCCTCGAGTTTCTGCGGCGCGCAGCTAAGGAATACGATCGCTACATCGTCCAGCAACACTCCAAGACACTCGCTTCCTCAGCAAGCGGCTCCTTTTCCTCCTCTTCATCGAACGCAAACGACAGCACGACTAAGCATCCTGCTGCTACAACATCGCCAGCTGCTTGCGGCGCCATGGCTGCGACGACGAGCAAGTTCCGACCGAGCATTCTACAACAGGCGGTTAGAGCGGCATTGCACATGGGCGCATTTGCTGTGGCTTATTTCGTCATGTTGCTGGCGATGTATTACAACGGGTACTTTATCATCTGCATCTTCATCGGTGCGTATCTTGGATACTTCATCTTTGGGTGGGAGAGTTTCAATGTGAGCAGCGGGGGCGAGGATCGTATGCAGGAGAATGCCACGGTTTGCTGTGGGTAGGAACGTAGATGTTTATCAGGATAGACTACATGATTCGAAAGCATCTGCGAAATTAGCGACAATGACAAGAATTCACGATTGGTAGTATCATATGGCACATGCGTTGTTGTAATGAAGTGATTGATTGTCCTGTGTGGTATCTCATGAGCCGCCGAACTCCCCTCATCCCCTAATCATCGGACACCTCTAAATAACCACCCGTGGCATATATCTTGGTAGACTCCATATGGTACATAGCTTGTAAGATCGTCTGCACAGTCTCAGCATGGATGTCGCGTGTGCAAGTGTTACGATGGCACTCACAGTATCGTGTTCATTGCACGCCATCAATGCGAGGATTGAATGACTTATTTGCCCTGAAGAAAGGTCAGCATCGTGTTCGTAAGAAAGACGGGGGATGACATACGGGGCAGCCATCGCAAGTGCAGGTGGAGCCGCAGTTGCAGCTACCAGAAGCACAGCCGCAGTTACCCTTCATTATTGATGGTCGAAGATGGGTTGTTGGTTTGTGGGAAAGTAGGTTGATATAGTTGAATGTGAGTTGGCTTGATGGAATTGACTTGATTATTGTGATGTAGGAGTAAGCAGCAGAGGGCCAGCAACCAACTTCTTATATACCCGAAGCATGCGCGACTTGTGCGGCAGCACAGCCAAACGCAGGGCCCTTCACGCCACCTCTTCTCTGCGGCAACGCCGTCAGCGGCGGCTCCCGTTCATGTGCTTCACGAGCTTTGCCCCGCATCCCACCGTGTTTGTAGCATTGTTGACTGTAAGCTTTGGCCTCAGTGGTCGATAGCTCCGTTGGTAAGTTTAGCCGCGTGCACGCGTTTTGTGCTATTGGCTCCCACTTATCTTGCGTACATTGTGCGGTTGGTCGGCTGGTCGCGCGGGGGCATGAGAGACTTGTGCGGTTGGTCTAGCCTGGCTTCTAGAAAGTGCCAGGGCTTGCCTCGGGAGAAAAGTGGAGTTGCGTAGTTTGTGCGGATGGATGCCAAGGCATCCGGACCGTGGGTATAGGTCGGATTCGGGCCTTATGTCTGTTTCCGTCCCGCGATAAGAGACATCAGCGTCTTCAATGTTTCCAGGTTACAGAACCATGAGATGCTTAGTTGGACTGTAATGTCATATGTGGCCCAATAATGGAAGCGAATAAAGGGCATTTGTGTAAAAGAAAGAGAGCCTGGCGGGCGATTCTTCTTGACTACGAACGTAGGTACAGGACACCTTTGAGCCGGATTTTGAACTTTGTCCTGTGTTGGTCAACCAATAAACTTGCCGCCGCAGTATATGCAGGCATCGCAAGCAAGAAACAGTACCCGTGCCAGCGTGACAGGGATTTCCTTTCGTTCGTACACATCGCCTTCATCGTCGGAATCGTTGCTTTCTTGATCACCTCCTTCTTGGTCGCTAGAACCCTCTTCATCCATCTTGTTCAACGGATCGCTGCTCTCCTCCCTTTCCTCTGATACCATGCCGTTTCTAGTCACGCCAGTCATGACCGTGTTATCCTCAGTGTCGGAGCTATTATTGCGTTCCACGTCTTCTTGGGCCATGATGAACTCGTCGCTTAGAAATGGTGTGCTGCATATACCACAGTACTTCGTGATGCCGGGCGCCTGGATAGCCAGAAAAGTGAGACCACATCTAGGGAACACATGTCCGTTGGTGCAAGTTGCTGATCGGGGGTCTGCGAACGGTATAAATGCGGAGCAGAAATCGCAAGTATCCGCTACTGGGACTGCTGGGCCTTGATTCGTCGAAATGCTGTTGCCATGCGTACCGGTGCTGACTGTTGATGCGCTTTCCTGCTCCGAAGTTCGGTCTGCCGGCAAGGATTCGGATGCATCGTCATAGCCCATGACCATGTTGATGAGTGTGACAAGTTGTTTGTGATGCGTGCGAATTTCTGCGCTGAACGGCGTATGCGATAGCGATGAAGGAAGTTGTTGCAAGGCCACGGCAAGGCGATACGCAATTAGAGTCTTCGGTAGCTCCTTACTAATCTGCGTCTTGTAGGCTTCAGACACGAGGATGATGTAGCGATCCTTCAGTGTAGGTGATTCAAGGAAAGCATACGACTTGAAATTCTTGATCAACGAATCGAGATCGTTGACATCGGAGTACGCTGCTGATGTGGTCGCGCTCATCTCACTGACAGGAGGACCTGTGTAAGTCTCGACTAGCTTTCCAACCATCTCATCCGCGAATGCAGGTATGTCATCTGGGTCCTCGACAACTTCTTCTGCCAACTTCTTAAGACTGTACATGAGTCCTTCTGCAGTTACGTTCTCTTTTGGAAAGATGTCCCGTGAACGGCTGCCAGGTCGCAAAGAGCTGATAGCCACGGCACCACTACGGTCAGCCGGAATGCCGTACTCGATCATATCGGAGGGATGTACGCTGTTGCATGCCGCGATGAAGTCGCCTAGCGGAGATCTCGTGAGGCCCCATACCTTGGCCCTGCTATTGCCTTTGAGTTCGTTCTTTGCACTAAACAGTGCCAGATTATTTCCGATTCTCTCACGCCATTCTGGGGCATCAAGGCTTTTGAGCCCATCAGGAGTCTGCTCGAGGATAGCAGTTGGGCTGTGGAGTGTCGATAGTAGAGAGCTTATATGGAGACGAGGTGTTGTGGCCTGAGTCGTGTCCCAGACAACGCCTGAAACTGGATCCCATCGACCGTCTAGATCATGCGTGCTCCTTTCGATGATAGAAGCGTCAAGAGCGGATATCGTTAGATATACTAGTCCCGTGTTCGTGAAGAGGGCGAGCTTTAGTCTGTATTCATCTTCGACTCGGTGAAACCATTTCATCGGGCCGTCATATCGCATTTCGTGGCCTGCATAGACAACTTCTTGCTGCAAGCTCATACGCCCAGTGTTGTACGTGATAGTCCGCGCCCGTATATCCTCATTCGTAGCGTATACCAGTACGGAATAATAACACCCGTCGCGTATGATCCAAGGACTCCAGGCAATATGCGAGATATATCTTTGCTGTTTGATCATGTCTTCGAAGATATTGGGTTGTGGGAAGATCGTGTCCGAAGAAAGTGCAAAAGACTCATGTGTTAACACGTCTGCCCTCCAGTCTGGCTCAGCTCCTAGGGAGGACGTGGGCGTTTCAACCTTGAGAAACACGAGGTGATTATCGTCATCAGAGACAACTAGCATGTGCGGGCCGTATGCCAAGTGAGTACCGACAACACCAGCCGGCCCTGGGCAAGGCAGAGCGGGTGCCCAGGCGAACGCTCGAATGCGGCCTCTCGACCGCAGTCGTTCCTTGGAATCGTGCACCACGTGGCTAGATTCGTGGTCCCAGTCTCCGAAGTGGTCAACGAGCGCATCGTTGATGATCAATCGTCGAGTCCAACTGGTCTCTTCTTCTGGCTTGCCTTCTGCTGCTGACCAGAGGGAAAGCGTCAAGTTTGCGGTAAGAGCAGCAAGCGCGCATTTTCGATGTTTAGCAATACCGGGCGGTGACCACGCGATGCTGATGGGAGCGCTGTTAGAGATCTCTTCGCCGACGGAGTAGTTAGATGTTGGCGCAGGTTCTTTGAGTGGGAGCTCATCGGTCGAGAACAAGGGTACCTTGAGAGGCACATGCTGCCATTGCGGCAAGACTTGGTCCCGCTCGAAGTCGACGGTGTTTGGAAACTACGCAATCATTAACAAAAAGGTCTCGTGTAAGTATCCGTACTGAAAGGTACTCACGAGCAGCTCTACGCGCTCATCCGACGCTAATGCAATGATGCCGTCGGAAGACCAATCGATTGCATCGACGCAGGCTGGCCAGCATCTCAGCACTGTCACGTCCGCCATGATCGCGCATCAAGTCTCAGAATAAGTGGTCCCTGTTGTTTAGTGGTTCTGGTCATGGCTCACTGTGGTGAGGGAGATCGTGAAAAGGTTTCGACTAGCGCGAAAACACGAAAAGCCTTTACATAACTAGGGAATGCAAAAGGTCTCGAATTGACGACTTTTGCATACAGTGACTAAAACCTTCACATAGCACTTCGTGGACGCGCAGGGACGTGAGAAGCACCGAACACGCGAGATTTGCTGGCGCAGGATCGCGTTGAACGCTTTGGGACTAGTTCCGGACTTATCGATAGTGCTGGTACCGACCGCCGACGAAAAAGTGATTTTTCCGCCATCCTTCTCAACTTCTCCACACGAAGCATTGCCAACCAACAAGATGGGGAAAAGACCGATCTCTGACGTCGTCGCTGAAGACAGCGCGACCGCCACCCCCGAACTTTCAAGAAAGAAGAGCAAGAAGGACAAGAGCAAGAAGCTCAGCAAGACCGCTGCAGTAGATGCGACCGAGACAAATGGCGATGCGCAGGCTGTAGAGAACTCGGACGACGAATCGAGTCTGTCCAAGGCCGAGCGCAAGGCGGCAAAGAAAGCAAAGAAGGCGGCTAAGGAAGCGAAAAAAGCGCTGAAGGCTGCCGCGGGTGCCGATTCAGACGAGCCTGCGGAAGAGAACGAGGAAGCCATCAAGGCGGCAGAGAAGGCTGCGCGAAAGGCAGAGAAGAAGCGCGCGAAGGCACTGGCCAAGGGCGAAGCCACCGAGCCCGTACCTTCCTCCAAACCTGCACCGGTCGAAACCACAACGAGCGCAGCCACCGTCGAATCGGGAGACTATGTGGAGAGCAAAGAGCTAACCCAGCTTCCCCAGTCGGAGGTCGATGCCTTCCTCGCCAAGAACACGATGGCTATCCAAGACCCCAAACCTGCCGCTCGCAAGCTCCGTCCCATCCTGAACTTCAAGTACCTCCCGGTCGACGATGCGCAACGCGCCTTCTTCGCCAAGTTCAGCGCCCCTACACCTATACAAGCAGCCGTGTGGCCATACTTGCTCTCAGGTAGAGACATGGTTGGTGTTGCTGAGACAGGTTCCGGCAAGACGCTCGCGTTTGGTGTACCATGTGTGCGCTACATCGCAGCGCTGCCCAAGAACGAGCGGAAGGGTGTCAAGGCTGTCATTGTTTCACCTACGCGTGAGCTGGCTGTTCAGATCTACGACCAGTTGGTAGCGTTGGCGACGCCGGCTGGACTATCTGTAGTCTGCGTGTATGGCGGTGTGCCAAAAGACCCTCAGGTTGCCGCTTGCAAGAAAGCGCACATTGTGGTCGCTACACCCGGTCGTCTAAACGACCTGATTGGCGATGGCTCAGCAGATCTCAGCAAAGCCGAGTACGTAGTACTTGATGAAGCCGACCGCATGCTTGATAAGGGTTTCGAAGAAGCAATTCGGCAAATCATCTCGCAGACGCCCAAAAAGCGCCAGACCCTCATGTTTACTGCTACGTGGCCGCCCTCCGTCCGGGATCTCGCGTCCACCTTCATGAACTCGCCAGTCAGAATCACAATCGGCGACAACCAGTCTGGCGAGCTCCGCGCCAATGTGCGCATTAAGCAGCTTGTCGAGGTTGTCGATCCCCGCGGCAAAGAGCAGCGTCTGCTGCAGCTACTTAGACAGTATCAATCTGGCAAGAACAAGGACGATCGTATCCTCGTCTTCTGTCTGTACAAGAAGGAAGCAATGCGCATCGAGGATTTCATCCGCAGACAGGGCTTCCGCGTGGGAGGAATCCACGGCGACCTGAGCCAAGAAAGGCGCAGCGCCTCACTGGCGGCGTTCAAGGAAGGCCATGTGCCCCTCCTCGTGGCGACGGATGTTGCTGCACGAGGTCTTGACATTCCTGCCGTGAAACTCGTCATCAATGTCACGTTCCCTTTGACGGCGGAGGACTACGTTCACAGGATTGGTAGAACGGGTCGTGCCGGAAAGGAGGGTTTGGCGATCACGCTCTTCACGGAACACGACAAAGCACTCTCCGGATCGTAAGTACCCCTTGCGCTTGGCTACATGTTTTCAGGGTGCTAACTCTATTATTAGGTTGATCAACGTCCTCAAGGCAGCAAACCAGCCCGTCCCCGAAGAGTTGATGAAGTTCGGTACAACTGTCAAGAAGAAGGAGCACGGTGCATACGGCGCCTTCTACAAAGACACCGGAGACTCCAAGGCAGCTACTAAGATTACTTTTGACTAAGTCGCATGAGTTTAGCTGTGTGTTGTCAAAAGCGGACTCGGCATCTCGTAACGAAGCTGGTCGGCGAAGTAGATGCCGCCGGCTACAGCTGCAGCGCGAAGATCGACTTGTAGACCTAGAAGCATTTGTCTAGCGGAGGCGTTTCGGATCATGCAAAGCAAAAGTCCCGGTAGTGTGCATTGTTGTAGATCGCGATGTGTTTAGTAATTACGAGTCTGCACAATATCTCATTCTTCGTAACGAATATCCCATCTTATGCATGAGCTGAAGAGAATCCCCTGTACTATAGCTTCCGGCTATACCGTGTCTGAACAATCGTACGATTTCCAAACCTGCGTATCCTCAGGTCCACACGAGAAGAAGGCTTCAGCCACCTCATCATACCGTATGCACTTGTTCCTAGCTACCATCGTGAATCTCAAATACGCATGTATCCACATGCGCCAACCGACCGCCATAACGACAACAACTCGCCTATCCAATGCACTACGCTTCCATTACCACCAAAAGCCCACACTGACCCTCCACATGCCCACTCCACGGGGGCACCCAAGCCCGGCACACCGACCCCAAAAACTCCTCTCCGATCCTCACCATGTACATGGCTCGGCAACGGACCCGTACTATAGGTTCTAACACACGCCGCTCCCGCAGACTAGACCCGCGTGTGCAGCGAAAAAAGCGTCTGGCGTCAAAGTGGTACTTCGCCGAATGTGGTCGCCGACTATAGTTCGGACAAATCACTAGACAGCCAATCAGATCCCCGCAATGAGATGCAGAGGCCCAGTCTTCTGGGGTGGGATTGGTGAACTAGAGCCCGAGGGGATTTATCATGCCTCACCGCAGTGAGGTAGTGTGTTCGCCGTGTGTAGGGGGGTTCGGCGAGGAGTGTATGTGGGATTGCGGAGGAAGGTAGGTGTATATAAGGGTCTCGGTGGGTTGCTGAGCGGACGGAGTGCATTCCAGATCTCTTTCAACCAAGATACGCATTTCGAGACTACTGTTATACCACGCTATACGCTACCGGACTCCACGAAAAGGTTTCGGCATACTTCCTCTTGCGTTCGGCATACCTTCATCGGCACATCATCGGCATCGCCACATATACTCGATATCCATAACATACTACACATTCACGATGTGCAAGAAGGCTTCCTGCGACTCCTGCAGTAGGTCACCTACCACGATTATGTTGTACGAGCACGGCTAACATCGCCTCAGACAAGACCACATGGTGGGGCTGTGGTAAACACGTCGCCGGCGTCATGGACAACACCCCCAAAGAGCAATGGTGCACATGCGCACCCAGAGTCGAGCAACAAGGCACACAATATCCTCCCATGGGGTCACTGTCTTCGGCATGACTGCCGGCTTGGATGAGGGGCTCGAAAACATAGCGAGAGAGCGGTACACGATGATACTGGACAGCACGGGGTGAAGGGCTGCTCTTTACGGAGTCTGGGAACATATGGAGTACTGGCGTGATGATTTACGATACGAACGACGCATGGATACGATTTCTGATAGCGTTAGCGATGCGCAATACATACCCAATTTTACGTTTTGAAGACTGCTTTGTCGCTGGTGATCATCATGCTGTAGTGCTGTGTAGATCGCCTTGTCTGGGCCTTGTGCCTGTTGCACATGTCAGCACAAGCGTTCGAATGATCACCAGCACGTTTGTCGATGACGGGGATACAAGGTGCGCCTTGCACGACGAGGCCTTCATCACGGTCTGGCGGGACCTGGCATCTTTGTCTGTCGCCCGTTCCAGAAGCATGGTGTTGGGAGCTACGACATGCCACCACCAGCTTTGTAGCACGGTGACCACAGTGACCACAACAGACAGTGGAAACGTCTGGACCGTGATGATGACAGAAGCTGTCATTTTAGACCCTGAAGCGGGTAAGGTCAGGATTCAATCCTGTTAGTAAGGCTCGGCGGCCTTTTGAAACAGCTTCTGGAAGTCTCAGATGCTTCGAAGTCAAACAGCTATGATGTCGACGGGTGCCGGGCCAGTGAGGCATCTTCCTTCCAATCGGACCCCAAGAAAATGCCGGCGCAGATGCATGGCGCGTACAGCGCAATGATAAGACAGTCAAAATCTTGTGCCAGACCATTGGAAAGGTGAGAATAGGACGGTTGGTGGTGGTTGAGTTGGAGAGAAGGCGCGCGAACCAATGGGTTCGGAGAGGATGCACCCGCCATGGTGAGGCTGGTCTCATAATGGGTCTGCTAAGTATAGCCGTTGCAGATGTGGAACTAGGCCCCTGCAACTAGCCAGTTTCAGCCATGGCCCTACAGGATCCTCCGCCATGAGCTTCAGCGACGAGGTGAATGACAGGCAGCCACCCTGCAGCAAGAGGCGCATGTGGTGATGGAAAAGGCAGCGACTGAGAACTGGCATTGGGCAGATGCGGGGAAAGCAGAAAAAGCAACTCTCCAGGACCCCGCTGGAATCTCGTGCACGCGGTCATGAAGTAGTGGTAGATCCTGCTAGCGAAACGATTCTCGAATGTTTGAGATGGATCTCGTGCATATCGCAGTAATCACAGGATGTGACTCGCGCAGCTCACACAATGGCTGGATCACGTCGGCGGTTAGCCCAAAGTATCCATGAATGGCGGCGGCCGTCGCGGACACCAAACGGAGACTGCCACCTGGGGGAGGTATATTTGCAGTCCATAAGCGGTGCATGCTGCTGTTATTGTCAAGTTGTGAATCTCACGCGCACTCGTCCTTGCCGCTTCGTATTGTCGT